ATTGGACCACTCATCCCAGCGAGATCGCTGTCCTCCCACCTTTTTTCCGATTGAACTCCCGGTGTGCTTATTGTGCACTCTGTGTTTCTGTACTGTCGACCCATAAACATTCCTATGATTTCATCAGTGCTCACGATTTCCCAAAAGTTACATACTTTTTCCCACATATATCCTTTCTTACGGTCTTTTATGTTTATTTATCATACGTTATCGTTAACTGGAACAATTTATCGAAATCCTCTTTCTCATCTATCCTTTTTTAGTCAGTCAGTGTACTTGCTATTTTCTACGCGGTACTGAAAGAAGTATTTTCGCATTCCGATCAGTCGGAAGTTTTCAGTTTTACACAGTACGGTTAGCGGCTAAATCTAATACATTATTTTGTTTTCTTTTGCTTTCTGAAACGTTAATACTTGAAACAGACATTGTCTTCAGTAACACAGTCAATCGCACTGAAAACTGCAAAAACCAGATCAGATGAACCTGCAAGACTTTCTCGTTCCCCTAGTGCTATTCGACGTATGCGACAACAGAAGCAATTTGTATCTAGTTGTCGTCTTTCGGGTCGAACTCTATCTCGACTAAATTCCGCAGACAAACCTTATACAGCTCAAGTGCGGCGATCAACTACTCCTAACATCCCGATCTGTTCATCTTGTGATTTGCCACCTGTTCACGTGGACCGTGCTGGAGCGAACACCACGGCGACACTGCATCAGGCTGTGCCATCCACAACCGGTACTCGTGAAAGTGTGCTCAGCGGTGGCTATTTCACCGGTGATGATGATGCTGCATCGAGTGGTAGCGGATGTGTGGACGTTCGGCAATCTGGCGGTGACGTGGTTCCCGAACAGACTACAACTGCTAGCGCAACAGTTGGTGATGTTACTGCTGTCTCTTCGTTGCACGCTGTGCAAGCTCTATCTCCTGTCTCCAGTCAGCACGGCGCAGACGGTCCTAAGTAAGACATTTTGTCTTGGCTCTTATTAAGTGCGCAGTTGGCCGTGATTGAGGCTCTTTTGAAGATATATGCGAATATTTTCACAACTGTTGGTCACATATTCACTTCAAAATAATAGTTTTCGTGAATGAATTTAGAAAACGAATGTTTTGTATTTTTTTCTGGATTGACATTGATTGGGCATATCATGAGCGACGTCGAATTCAACGTTGAGGTGTTTATGGTTTTATCATTGTGTCGCAGGGTTCGCTGTTCATAAGTCCTTGGGAATCAGCCATGGTTGCATACTACAAGTATGAGGGATCTTAGTTCTACGATGTTCCACACATTGTATTGGAGCGTCTTCAATGGCCCTAAACTAAGTTCGGTTACTCAGACAAGTTTTGTGACCGTTTGAAACAGATCTATTTCCCCGTTTGCTGTCAACCTACATTACGCGACACTGAGTGTATCATCTACGTTTGGAATCGTTGGTTAAGTCTTGACAAAATATACTTGAACGTCCCCAGGGATTATCACCTAAACGGCGAAAGGGTTGCAACCTACGACCTACGCCGAATGGCTACACATGTTCGAACTTTATTCATCTCATTATCACCGCATTCGGGAGACAATCGGCGTATACCGAGGACTGCATCCGCCTAACCACCCGTGTAGTACTCTACTGACACTTTTCGGGAATGATCACTTCATGGAACCTTCCTTTACACTGTTGCTCCAGCATAAGTGATTAAACTGCCGGCGTCACTCAGTGTTAGAGTATGCACTAAGTTGCCTATACTCTAACCATCAATTCATTCAATGAAGCATCAAGACGCCTAGTTGTCCGTTATCCGTGAGTGGGCGTGATAATTTGTTATTTCATTATTTCGTTGTACTATCATTCGAAAAATGTGTTTAGATCCTAGTAAAAATTTGAATTCATTTGAATCATTACCAGACATTACATACGTTTGTGGGGTTCAGTGACAAAGAAAAAATCGGGTTTCTTATAACTTGATCACAAGACAATACAAAACGTTTCGTCTGGTCCGCCGATTTCAATACTCATGAGCACGAACAGCTTGTTTGAAAGCACGCCGTCTGTGACACAGGGCTCTAACGATAATGATCGAGTGAAAAAAATGTGATGAAGGATTCTGCCGAAAAATCCAATAACACTAATATAAGCTGGGTAAAGCTTACAGAATCATTCGTTGTAAAAGTGGGAATGTCTGGTTTTCCGAACAAGTAGCTGAGTCAAATGTGAAATAATTCATCCGCTCAACCAGTTCCCTATTGTGTGTGTGTGTGTGTGTGTGTGTGTGTGTGTGTGTGTGTAGTACCGAGCTAAATGCTATATTCGATTCTTTCCAGCACCGCCCCATTGAACGCGGATAAAGTTGAAAAGACAGAAGAAAATCTTCCCGCTCCGCGTACAGCTGCATCAGGCAGTGTCGTGCGCACTGTAAAACATGCGGACGGGTCGGTAAGTGCATTTAAAGTGTACTGTTCCAAGTTGATCGAGTAATACGGGTCGAAACTGGGCATGCTGGTATTCTGTGCTGCTTTCCTCTAGTAGCCGTGTGTTTGGATCCTATCAATCATCTGTCCTGCGCTTTCTGTGACTTTTTGTTAGCTGGTTTCTTTTCCTTGAGATTGATCATAAAACTGTCTGTGATAAAAATCAGCATACAAACGAAGATCAAAGAAAAAATCATGCAATTTAAGGACTCGCTGTTGATCGTGTTACTTGAATACACTTGTGTATGCATGGTTTTCAGTGCGATGTCATTATTTTCCTTTTGTCACCTTTCACGTGCAATAGGTTGAAGAAGCATACTCCAATGGTGCTGTGGTCGTCACTTATTCTAACGGCTCGGTGAAGGAAGTTTTTCCGGACGGCGTAACGATAGTGGTGTCCCTCTTTAACGGGGATATTAAACGGACATTACCAGACGGCCGCGTTGTAAGTTACCCGATTGGTACTACTTTTTACAGCTAGAGTTAGGGTTTTGCTCACATAGTTTCCGTAATATTACAAGCTGGATCGCCTGCTAGAGCTGGCCCAATTCCGTTCACTTCAGTTGGTACGACCATTGTCCATGTACGTTCGTCCTCCGTATTTGGTTGCTGTAAGACAGAAAAGATGAAAGTCGAGTCGAACAGAAAATGGCGAATTTCAGTGGTCTAACGTTCCTACTACCCCCAGCCATATCACTCAGTGTCTCTAACCATCGTTGAGAATTATCTGGAGATCCACCGCCAGGAAGCCTCACAAGACCCGTACAAGCCAGTCTCCTGGTTAGGGTTTTCATACCCTCATACAAGGTCTTAGCTTGACTACCCTTGGCTTTCTTCAACCCGTTATCCGCCTCGGCAAACNAACGGATTCAAATAATACTGTCTGGCTGATTGAAGTTCTTAACTCATCCAGTTTCAGTTTTTATAACCGCTAACCATGCACTTTCGTGCGCCCGTTTTAGTTGCCGTCTATTGGTCGCCCAATTGGATGGAAGATCAAGATGAAAATTGAAATATTGAAAACAAATTCGTTTGGACTACGGTTAGGATAATAATGAGTATATGCGTCACCGCCCAGCCATATCACTCAGTGTCTCTAACCATCGTTGAGAATTATCTGGAGATCCACCGCCAGGAAGCCTCACAAGACCCGTACAAGCCAGTCTCCTGGTTAGGGTTTTCATACCCTCATACAAGGTCTTAGCTTGACTACCCTTGGCTTTCTTCAACCCGTTATCCGCCTCGGCAAACATTGCGCGCCGTGGCAACTTATTTGGTGACATGCGTAACACATGCCCCAACTAAGGTGATCTATGGAGTTCGACCACTTGCTCCAGTGGGCGACCGCGGTTGCCTAGAACTCTACTCCTAACCTCAGCATTGCTTGTCCGGCTGCCCCACCAGATTCGTGCAATGCTGCGTAGACAGCGATGTTCAAACACCGACAGTCGATCTTTGTCCTGTTTTTTTGAATGGCCAAGTTTCTGCTCCATATAGCAGAACTGGCCGAACTGCTGCAGCATATACTCAACCCTTCACAGACAGTTGTATGTCGCGACGGCGCCACAAATGCCTCAAGTTGGCAAATGCCAACCGAGCCTTCTATATGCGCGCCGACAATTCATCCGTGATGCGTCCGCCAGGTGATATAGATATAGTTGCCCAGATAGCAAAATTTGTCTGGTTTCTCTACAACTTCCCCGGTCAGGGTGAGGCTGGGGACTGGGCCAACCCAATCTTGTAGTAGCATTTTACACTTTGAAGGTGCAAAACGCATACCGAGCGTGCCTACACTAGCGCTAAAACTATTCAGAAAAGCTTGCAACTTACCTGGATCTTCACTTGGTAGCACAATATCGTCTGCAAACTCTAGAGCAGACAGCCTGGGAGTAAATCGATGCCGCTATTCTCGCACGAGGATAGGCCTATTTCCATAATCAAATATAAAAAAAGTTAAATAGAAATGGGGAGAGAAGGCAACCCTGTCGAACACGACTTTCTGTGGTGAACTCGGGTTAAAACGTGCCGTAAGCTCGGACTTGGCTTCGGCTATAAGTATAGAGGGATCGTAATATTGAAATAAACTTCTCGGACACACCTTTCAGAGAAAAATAGCACCAGAGTTTAGAGCGGTCGACTGAGTCGAAAGCCGCTTTCAGGTCGAGGAAGATAAAAATGGTCGGTCTACGAAAAGAATGTCGGTGCTCCAGAGTTTGGTGTAGAGTAAAGATTTTGTCGATACAACCTCGATCAGCCCGGTTCTCACGCGTGCACTCTTCACGTGCGACAGTCAATCGACGGAGTATGATGCCGGCGAGAATTTTTGAGGCAACGTTAATTAGACTTATTCCCCTTTGGTTTTCACAAGAGGATCTGTCACCTTTCTTGTAAATCGGTATGATTACTGATTCACGCCATTCAGCTGGGACCTGTTCGTTCTGCCACACAGAACCCAGGAGTCTCGTTAACTCCGAAACCAATGCTAAACCTCCATCCTTAAGAGCCGATGGGGAAAGTCCGTCTGGGTCGGAGGTCTTATTCCTAATTAGACGGAACAGATTGCGACTATTACCAATATGCGCAGGCTTCTCCATCTCTCTATACTTTCCTGTCCACTACTTCTCGCGATCATTTCTCAGGCTCTTGATGAGCTGGTGTTAGAGGGATTTGCGCTCTGTGTCATATGCGGCATCCGGAGGAAAGGTTCTGCGTTCGTCCAGCAGGACAGCCGAGGTCAATGAGATCCATCGTTTTTGTTTTGAGCCTGCGTGAGGGTCTGACATTGTTTTTATTGATATTTGCATAGCTTCCTTAATTTGCTTCCAGTGTTCATTGAGTCATTCGGCTGGTGGTTGAACTGACAGGCGATCGGATAGTTCCGCTTCGAAGGCTGATTTGCAACAATGGCTGACGTTGTATCGTAGGTATCTGTTTTCGGTGGCCTTTTTACGGTTGCTTGCCGGGCGTAAGGAGAATTTGGCTCGTAGCAAAGCGTGGTCCGTATCCACAGGTGTTGACCAGTAAAAGCGGCAGTCTTGGATCGATCCCCTCCAGCGGTAACTGATAGCGATGTGGTCGATTTGGGTCCAGCGCTGTGAAGAGGTTGGCGGTTTCCATGTAAGGCAGTGTCGTTTCTTGTGCGAGAAGTTCGTGCTTGACAGGAAGAATCCGTGGTCGGCAGATTTGAAGTAGGCAATCTCCGTTATTCGTCCGATTACCCGGATTGCATGTGGTCCACCAAGGAACCTTTCTGATTCATCAGGGATCGCATCTGAGCTTTGAATTCTCCGGTGGTTAGCACGATGTCCGTTGATCGAACGCTTTGGAGTAATCGGAAAAGGTTCGATGAGGAAGGGGTTTTTCCAAATGGGTGCCTGAGACTTTAGGGTGCGACATACTTCGCGATAGCCCACTCCGACGAGGGTTTTTTTCTTTAGAACACTAACTAGAGCCTTTGACTCAAAATATGGCCGAGGGCCGAGGCGGAGGGATTTAGTGGGTTTTTCTTTAGGAACCCGAACCTGTGCTTTCGACTCAAACGTCTGACACAAGACAGTGGGTCCAGCGCTGTGAAGTGGTTAGCGGTTTCCATGTAATGCAGTGTCGTTTTTTGTGTGAGATGTTCGTGGTTGACAGGAAGAATCCGTGGTCGGCAGAGTTGAAGTAGGCGACGGAGTATGATATCGGCGAGAGGTTTGGAGACGATGTTGAATAAACCAATTCCTTTGCGGTTTTCACAAGAGGACTTGTAGCTTTGTAATTCGGTAAGATGACCGATACACGCCTTTGCATTTTAACCTGTTCCCTCTCCCACAATGTGCCCTGGAGTTTTGTTAACTTCGAAACCCGTTCTGCCCTTCCATCCTTGAAAGCCGATTGGAACAGCCCCTTTGGGCCGGAGACAAAAGTTTCTTTTAAGTAGCTTTTTCTGGCGAAACTCTTTTTCAGATGAAGGACTGGCATTAACTGGGAGTTGTCGCCAAGTCACGGTAGATGGTGATAGTTCAGATTTCAATGGGGGCCCGTTTAAATAAACCTCGAAATGTGCAGCCCATCGATCAAGACGGCTGTTACGATCGTGAATCCGTGTGCCAGTCGCTCAGTTCTCTAGGTTAAAACAGTTGTTGACGCCACACTGCACCTTGGTAAGTGTACTTCTAACTGCAGGTCTGCCACACCCTACAAATATGTTCTCTTGGTCACGTGGGCATCTCGAACCGATGTCCCTCAAGGAATAAAGATAATAGCTCCAAAGGTGGTATCCTTTGAACCTCAGGACTGTAAGTTTGTTCTTGTATTGCATCGCTGAAGCCGGGAAAACATCTGAGGAGTCCTTTGATTTTTTCTCCAGATGGTGTCCTATCCCGTCCTAGGCTGCGTTACTGTCCTGCTTCATGAAACCTTGTATTCGAGTCGTCCCTGGTCGTAGTTATGGTGGTCAGCCTTGGCTATTTAGCAATCGTCATATCTGAGCAACTACGGCCAGTTGTACTTTAGCTGTGGTGCGCACGAAACAGTGAGTTATCCTTCGCGCTTATCGAATCGGGTCCAGTTTAGCTGTCTCACGCAAGTCGCACGGCTTCACTGTCCCACCCAGTCGACGTCCGTTAGCGAGCTCGACAAGATGCACGACTCAGATCTGCTTCATTTCAACACAAAAGGAGCGTGGCAAGACAGGTGGTCAATCCACGGGCAGAAAAATCGTGTAATCAATTGACCAACGAAAGCGTATCCAACCACTGTTTCTTTCTCAATTCAACGTGACAGTTTTTCAGTTCAAAGTGATGGTTTCTCAATTCAAAAAGACGGTTTCGCAAGTGGAAATGATATTTTCTCAAATTAATCTTGAAATGGTATAGTATATACAAAAAAAATTTGACGTATGGTACAGCCCGGTCAGTGATCACTTACATGGGATCAAAAACATCAGAACCATACTCCATTGAATCCACCGTTGCAAATCATATCTCTGTCTTACCATCTGCTCGCAAGTCCCAAAGTTCAACGGGATATAATCACGCGACCTATTTCTCATGAGTGCTGCTCAGTTAACCCCCATGCACATTCGATACTGGCCACTATCCATTTAGTTGTGGTCGACCCCTGCCACAAGTGGAAGCTTACAACTTTAGTACCCAGAGAGGGATCGTTTTGTAAACGCTTCATTTTTCACACCGGTGAAAATTCCTCCATTGACTGACTACCATCCTTAGGCGGGCGCATCTGCAGTAAGCTGCGCTTCAGTGTCATTGGTGTGTAATAAAAGTGGGTTAATATCTCCTGGGCCGATAGCGTAAGTCTCAGAACCTTCTTTGTTGTCCCCAAAGTTATCCTTTTGTTTCACTTCAATAGCACCGGTGCCGAACCTACTCAAAACTCGCCTTTCGATTGTGGTTGGTTGTCTTCACCAGCCGTCACACAATTCGATCACAGTTGTTCAATACTCATTCCAGCGTACTTTTAGAACCGGAAAAGCCTATTCCTCTTTCAGAAGTAATGGTTATAATGCGATTCCTCTGCGGACATAGAAGTATCTTCTTTAGTATCCTTTCGCTTGTCACAGAAGGTTGACCCCAACCTGACGATGGCAGTTACCGGTTTCTTTGTTTCCTTTAGGAACCTTTTCACC